ATAAAGTGATATTTATCAGCTAAGGAGACCAGGACAAGAAAATAGACATTTATAAGGTGGTAAGAACAGGACAATAGTCATTTATAAGGTATAAGGTGAATAGGACAAAAAAATAGTCATTTATAAGCTAAGGAGCTGATAGGACAAGAAATTCTGCTGATGATATTACCTAGCTTGGTAACGAAACGCCCAGAGAAACTGAACTGAAACGAACTGGGAGAGCAAAACCGCCGCCAAAAAAGGACACAATGTTGCCAGCCTTTTCCTTTTCCTTTCAAACGAGGGGAGAGGAAGGAGTCCGAAGAGGCAAAGAATGGGGGGGGGGAGAAAGAGGGGTGTGGGGGCTACGTCCCGCATGACCTTCAACCCGGAGCGGCGGTGTCCAGCAGGCCCGAGGCTGGGGATGAGGGGCTTTGTAGTCCAAGGCACCCCCCACCCCCTCAGGGCGGGGAGGGAAGGTGGGGGGGGAGAGACGTTCTGCCCCCCCCCCTCCACGGCAAAGGCAACTTCCGCGGCCTACCTGGCTGTAGCATCGGCCCGCGAGAGGCGGGGTTAGCAAGGACCCCCGCCAAGAGCCGAAGCCGGGCACAGGCCCGGCCGAACTGGCGACCCCGCGGCTCTGCGTGGCTGCCCCGAGCAAGAGCAGGAGACGTCGGCGGCCCCAAAGGCCGAAAGCGCCGGCCGGGGGCGACGCCGGCGACGAAGAGGTAGGCCTCAACGGCGGCAGGCAAGCCGCGCCGGTGTGGCGGCAAGTGCTGTAATGACAGCCGCAGCCGCGGAGCAGCGCGCCCAGCACCCAGCGAGTCCCGGCCATGGGAGAGCGAGGCTTCGTCGACGTCGTGGCAACCACTCCCGGCCGAGCTAGGCCTTCCGGCGCACGCGCACGCGCCAGGGCCTTCCGCCGGAGGGGAGGGGAGGGAAGAGAAGTGGGGGGCGGGGGGGGGGGGCGGACAACGGGCTGCGCAAGCACGGTGGGAAGCGGAAGCCCCGCCCACCCCTGGCACGTGGGCTCGGGTGGCTGGTTAAGTGCGCCTGCGCGGGAAACTGCAGTCTCCCCACCGACCTAAAAGCTGTCACGTTTCTAAGGAAGGGGCGATGTGTTTGTTTTAGGGCGCGAACCGTAGAGCGACGCGGTCCGTTTCTTGCCGCGTCTGCAGACTTTGTGCCCCCTAGTTTTATGAGAGGGCTCTGGTTTATTTTAGTTATGTTCCAATATCTGAGGGGCTGCCACAAAGACGACGGGGTCAAGCTATTCTCCAAAGCATCTGAGGGCAGCACAAGAAGCAATGGGTGGAAACTAACCAAGGAGAGAAGCAACTTAGAACTAAAGTGAAATTTCCTGACAGTCGGAACAATTGATCAGTGGAACAACTTGCCTCCAGAAGTTTTGTGTGCTCCAACATTGGAGGTTTTTAAGAAGAGATTAGACAACCATTACTCTGAAGTGATGTAGGGTTTCCTGGCTGAACAGGGGGTTGGACTAGAAGACCTCCAAGGTCCCTTTCAGCCCTGCTATTCTATTCTACTCTACTCTTAATTCCATTCCATTCCGCATTTTCTATTTTATATTCTATTCCCCTCCTGAACCCGTTTGAAGATAACTTTATTTTTCTGGGGTGGAGGAACTTCCTTGGCAACTGGCTCATATTTTAGGACGGTTACAGTGTCCCCAGGAGTCATGTGAACCACCTTTTGCAACCTGACAAGCAAAAGTCAATGAGGAAGCCAGTTTTGCTTAACAATTGCAGGGATTTCGCTTAACAATTGTGACAGGGAAGGTCATAACAGGAGGCAAAACTCACTTTGCAGCTGTCTCACTTAGCAACAGAAAGTTTGAGTCATCGATAGTAGTCATAAGTTGAGGTCTATCTATATATTAGTTGTTCGCAGTTCATGTGGGATACAGAGCACTTTTATGGGAGGGGGGCTTTTAAAGTCCCAGGCCAGCCCTGCAGCCTTCCCTAGAAAAATCCAAAGTCAAATGTTTTCCAACTTGGCAACTTTTAAGATGTGTAGATTTTGACTCCTACAATTCTCTAATCACACTTTTGAATTAAAGTCTTTACATCTTAGTTGCAGAGACTGAGGGAGATGGACCTGGAGTTTAGCTGTGGTTTATGGTTTAGGGAATCAGGCCTATAAAATACAAGTTATGACCACAACTGAGCCCAACATTTCTATTGCTAGGTGAGATAGCTGTTAAGTGAGTTTTGCCCCGTTTTATAACCTTTCTTGCCACTGTTGTTAAGTGAATCACAGCAGTTAAGTTAGCAACATGGTTGTTAAATTAATCTGGCTTCCCCATTGACTTTGCTTGTTAAGGGGTTGCAAAAGATGATCGCATGACCCTGTGACAATGCAACCATCATAAATACATGCCAGTTGCCAAGAGTCAAAATTTTGATCATGTGACCACAAGGAGGCTGCAAAGTCATGTGAAAAATGCTCATGAGTCACTTTCATTGCCATTGTAATTTCAAACTCACTAAATGGATGGTTGTAAGTCAAGGACTACCTGTATGTGGGTATTGCATGATTTTTGAATCTCACTACCTTTTTTAATACTTCAGAATGCTTCCTTCAACTCATGACGAGCTGGTCTTATTAGGGTACAAAGAGAGAACAGATTGTCTTGAATTTCTAGCCTTCTCTACATAAGATCTTTAAAGAGATCGGTGATGTGAAAGACGTCCCAACGCATCTTCTCTCTCTCTTAGTACCTGCCAAGAGGACTATTGAAATGTTGAACTGGCTTTGATCAGTGTTAGGGATCTGATGTAGATTTGTAAGTTGAAAGACTTAGAATAACTTTATTGTCACTTTCAATGTACACTAATCAGCATGCATTAAAATAAAATTTCATTGCATACAGCTCTCAAAGGGTCTCTACCTCTAATATGATTTGATTGCTTATTGTACCCTATGAGTATTATTAAGTGTTTCACCTGATAATTCTTGACTTGACGAATGTATCTTTTCATTTATGTACACTGAAAGCATTTACACCAAGACAAATTCCTTGTGTGTCCAATCGCATTTGGCCAATAAAGAATTCTATTTTATATACTACATTAACACGACAAAATAAATAATACAAAATTATGCATATACCCACATACATGACACCGAGAAACAACATAGTCTAGTCTGGATGTATACATGTACATGGCGAGAAACTTGCAACAAATTTTGCAAGTTTACCAGATGGACGGCATAGTCCTGCTACACGGTAGATACTTCGAAACCTCCTCCCAGAGACTGAAGCGGATGTGGGATCTCTAACAATGCTGCGAGCTCTAAGCACATAGCGCTTATAAGCAGTATCCTGAATAACAGCAAGCGAGCTTCCTATGATCTTCTCGGCTGTCCTCACCACTCTCTGTAGGGACTCTGAGACACTACTGCCACCTGACCTGCATAAAGTGAATATCCTGTTGATCATGAGTATTTTCTTTCCAAAAGCTCTTGTACATCCTCAGAAGTAGCAGATGAATCTGGGGAAAGGCACTGGACCATTGGTTCTGGATTCTCAGCAGTAGCAAGAGTGCATCATCTGAGGTTGTCCACAACTAAGCATCCCCCAGGTGCTTCACTTGGATTAGCCCACAAAGAACAGCTGAAGCAAACCAACCATGGGTTGGAAGGCATTACACAAACCATCTGACCGTGGGGATTTTTTATTTTATTTACTTGCATCCTACCTTTATTATTTTTTACAAATAATTAAAGGCAGGAAACATATGCAACATGACTTCCTCCTATTTTCCCCACAACACTGAGGTGAGTTGGACCCACACAGTGGGTGGCAAATGATGAAATATGGAATCATCATACAATTTACCTACTTGCATCACCCATGTGTACTCAAGTACATAGTGACATTGCACCATAAAGCAATGACCTCTCAGAAGGTCATAACATTTAGTTTATTAAGAAAATTTATGTGGCAACTTGACTCATGACTTCAGGCAGCTTATAGACTAGAGTAAAACCTAAATACGAAGTTCAAGGAATAACTACCTCTCTGGCAACAATAATCAAGCAACCCACCTAAGCAATTCTAGGTGTTGCAAAATTGGTCTAATGGTTAAGGCACCAGGCTAGAAAGTGGGAGTTGATGAGTTCTAGTTGCACCTTAGGCATGAAAGTCAGCTGGGTGACTTTGGGCTGATCACCAGGAGACAGTGAGTTCTAGTTCCATCTTAGGCATGGTCTAAAAGCCGGCTGGATGACTTTGGCTCTCTCTCTCTTTCTCTCTCTCTCTCTCCCCAGCCCACCTCACACGGTTGTTGTTGGGGGGGAAACAGAAAGGAGTACCATGTACGTTCACCACATTTATTTTAAAAAATAAATTTATAAAAATAAAGGCAGGAGATAGATGATGGATGGGTGGATGGATGGATGGATAAAAAGGAGGCAGATAATAGACAGAGGTAGATACATAGGTAGATGGTAGAGAGAGAAGGATAGAAATAGATGATAGATGGATGATACAAGTTCATAGACGATAATGATGGATGGATGGATAGCTAATAGGTAGATAGGTAGATGGTAGAGATAGAGGGATGGATGATGGATGATACAGGTTGATAGATGGTAGAAAAAGATAGATTGATATATTGGATAGATAGATAGATAGATAGATAGATAGATAGATAGATAGATAGATAGAT